CACGAAGATTATTTTCAGTGTTTAGTTTAATGTTCAAACACTAGACAATATATATTCATAAATTCAAAGTTTAATGTTCATAAACTAAACATTATAACATTTATTTTGTTACATGTTCATCATAACATGCCTTATATATGTTAGAAACTCAGGGGGCATTTACTAACAGGAAATTTTCAAGAATTCTTGGAAATTGAAAATTGAAAACAGTCTAGGTGTTTACCATGTTCTTTTCCCATTTTCAAAATTGAGAATTATTTATCCTTTTTCAAGAAATTTAGAACACAATTAAAAGTTGTTTTCAAAACAGAGAAACAGATATTGGGATTTCGTGAGGCCATGTCCTGGGAAAAAGATATTGGGATTTCTAAAGTTGTGTTGTTATCTGATTGTCAAGTGGCCTGTAATCTCCTTAATGGCTCGGGTGCTAATCTGTCTTACGCGGGATGCGTTATTAAAACTTGCAAGGAGTTTCGTAGACACTTTGAAGTAGTGTCGTTTACTTATGTACCTAGATTAGAGAATAGGTGTGCTCATGCTGTTGCTAGAGCAGCTTTTTCACAATCTGGTCCTTCCGTTTGGATTTCATCTATTCCGTTTTGTATTGGACATTTAATTTAATAAAAGCCTTTCTATTTTTCAAAATAATAATAATAATAATAATAATAATAATAATAATAATAATAATAATAATAATAATAATAATAATAATAATACTTTAATGTTATTAAAATTAAACTAGTGTATGTGAAAAATGAAACTAAAATTCAGAACCATACAATAACATATATTGTCAAATGAACTTGAAGTGTAATTAAATCAATACTTTAGCATTATTATAATTAAACTAGTGTGTGTAGAAAATGAAACTACAAAATAGAGTACATACAATAATGTATATTGTCAAATGAAACTGTAGTAGAATTAAAATGATATTTTGCTATTGTTATAATGAAACTAATGAGTGTGAAACTGAAACTGAAACTGAAAAACATTATTATAATGAAACTGAAAAACAAAACAATATTGTCAAATGAAACTAAAATGTAATTAGAATGATACTCATTTTATGTACCACATTACTACATGAACCACTGTCCATAGTAAAATTTGCCTTATATTCCTCAATGAGAATTACTCAATCTAAATATGGGCTGACCTTAGTTATAACTCACAGAAGCCTAAAAAAGGGACTGTTATGCCATGGATCCAATACGATACCGTTTTGCAATTCGGGAGTAACGGTAGCGTTAGTGACATCGTTTTTCCTTCAATCAATTTTTTTATTATTATTATTATTTGTCAAAGAATTCAGCGACATCAAAAATTGTGAATATACTGTTACGTAATTATGATTATAGAGTTTTGCAGTTGTGAATATATAGTTCGAGAATAATGAATATAGAGTTCAAAAATTATGAACATAGAGTTCTATAATTATGAACATAGAGTTTTGTAATTGTGAATATAGAGTTCAAAAATAATGAACAAAAAGTTCTATAATTATGAACATAGAGTTCAGTAATTATGAACATAAACTTCTAGAGTTCAAAAATTATGAACATAGAGTTCTATGATTATAAACATAGAGTTCTCTAATTGTGAATATAGAGTTCAATAATTGTGAATATGGAGTTCAAAGATTATGAGCATAGAGTTCTATAATTATGAACATAGAGTTCTATAATTATGAACATAAAGTTCAGTAATTATGAACATAGACTTCCTGAAGACAAACGCCGTTAACGGCGAAAGAAAGCAATTTTTTTTAATTGACATGACATTGTTTTCCGCAGAAACGACGCCATTTTGGAAATGACACGGTTCCACAACATAATTTGCCCTAAAAAACACGACAAATTATTATGTGGACCCCGTTCCATCTTGTGAAGTGACCCGAATTCAAAAATGCACAATTTACATACTAAATGTTCACAATTCAAATTGTGAACATTCAGTATGTAAATTGTGTAGTTTGGATCTGGATTGACCTTGCAAAGTAGACCCGAATTCAAAAATGCACAATTTACATACTAAATGTTCACAATTCAAATTGTGAACATTCAGTATGTAAATTGTGTAGTTTGGATCCGGATTGACCTTGCAAAGTAGACCCAGGTCCATGGTATAACTGTTGCAACAACACCAATCATTATTACATAGACAATGGTCTACACAGCTGTGTGGACAATAAATAAAAAGTACATTTTCTTCTTTTTTTTTTTTTTTGGAACAGGGAGAGGGACAAAGCCCGGGTGAGAAACGAAAAGCCAAACTAGCTTCCTCTCTGAGTTAGTTCTTCGGCGGTAGACCTCGCACCAACTCTATCCTCCCAAAGTACACCATCAACATACGACGGTTGTCGATCGAGCAAACGAGTCCCAATCGCATGGTCTAAGGCAGCTGAAGCGAGACGGTCCGCGACTTTGTTGCAATATCTAATGACATGTTTAAACCTCACCTCTTGAAATCTGCCTATATCCAGGAAACATTGCCTAACAATGTTGCTTTCCTTCCCGGATCTGCCACTCGTGTTAAGACAGTTTATGGTACGGAGTGAGTCACTTTCCACAATCAGATGACTAGCTCCTCGTCGAGCAGCCATACGCAGTCCAATGGAGATAGCCCATGCTTCAGCGTCATCCACTCCGTAGACACCAATGTTGTGTGTGAAGCCTTGTATCCATCTCCCATCATGGTCACGCAGTACTCCACCACATCCAGCCCTCATATTCGCCCCTTTGCAACAATCGTCTGTGTTAAGCTTCCACCAACCGTTTGGTGGCTTTTTCAATCCGACCATCTCGTCATTGGCCGGGATACCGCGTTTAGGTGCCCACTTCTTCTCAAAAGCCACCTTAATTTCATTATGTTGGGAAAGAATCCAATCCTTGCACTGGTTCAAGTTCATACACTATATATATACACATAAGCGCACGCGCGCACACATATTGACGGAGCCACAATGGGGGCAGCTGCCCCCACTCTCCCACTCCATTCTAGACACTCTCCCACCCCTTTCTATTTATATATATTGTATGTATAGGTCTTTTTTATATACATAGTTAATTTATAAATCTAAATCTACCTAAATTTTACTAAAGGATGAGTTAGCTTAGATGGTAACATTTGTAGTTTTTTTTTTTTTTTTTCCTAAATGTTAGGGTTCAAATCTCATAGCATGAATTTATAGTGAAATTAATTCAAATTGTATATTTTTTATTTGTAACATTGTGTTTTTTTTATTAAATCTCATTTTTAATATTAATTTGATATTAGTGATTTATAATATATTTTCGAACTATTTTATCTAATTAATTATATTTCTTATTTTTGAAATTTTTATTTGTAACATTGTGTTTTTTTTCTCTTATTTTTAATATTAATTAATACTTTAATAGTGATATGCGTGCTTTCTATCTACTATACTAATAAGAGCCAAAGAGAGTTAGTGTGACAATCCAAAATTTATTTTTCCAAATTCTATTTTATAAAATTTCAAAATAGCCATTTTCATTCTTCCAAAATTTTAATTCGAAAATGGTGTCAGAATTAAAAGTCTGTGTTAAGACTGTGCACCAACTGTTTGATAAAAGTAGGTTAAATTTGTGAGTTACTGATTCACACAAAATCACATTATCTTCCCCAGAACATATTCAATTGACAAGTTTGACCTTATTTCACTCAAGTTAGCACATGCACTAGAAGTGACTAATCAAGATTTTTCAGAACATTATACACGCAATAAATCAGATCACTAGCTCCATTAGCAATTTGTTTTCAGAAACAACTCATGCTTGTTCATTCTCAAAACAATTTAACAATCAACTCACAAGGTAGATGAAACAATTATTCAACATTTTTCAAAAACTTCTCCAATTTATCAAATAAATTTCGAAACCAAGCCCTCTTTTTACGTCATGCTTTCCACACTTTTTCAATCAACCATGCATTGTTGGCAAACCAAATTGCACATTATCAACACAACGTGTAAACAAGCAAGCAAGCTAGGTAAACAATTCCAAATTAATTGGTCAAAGTTAACATATCTCAAATTACTTGCATACTTGAATGTAGAATTTTGCAATGTGGATGTTCTAAAATCAAAACAAAAGCACATATGAAGCATATTAACATCTAATTGCACTATGCATTCATCAATTGCATGGTCTCGTGACAATATCCACAAAACCTAAATTCATCCTAGTGTTCAACTAGGGTTCAAAATCACAAATGGGTTTCAACAATATAATGTGTTATATTCAAAATTTTCACCATAAATGTGTTCTCTAAAGAACATAGAAGCATTCTATAGCATTATTAATGCAAATAATCTATCAAGATTTATTCTTCCATTCAACCACTTAAGAGATAAAAGCTTGATGAAAAAGATGAAAATGGAGAGTATAGGGGTTACCTTGTTGAAGAGCTAAAGTGTTCTTGAAGCTATCACAAAAAATATGGAAGAAAAGATGAAACGTGTGGTGAGATTTGCATAATGAAGAGCCCTTGGTGCATGAATGGGGAATAAGGGTTCTAGGTCTTGTGGGGAAGAAGACAACAAATAAAAGGAAAGCAAAAGGAGAGAAAAACCGTAGGGTTTTTAGTCGGCGCCCCACTTACGTTGCTGTCACGGCGTGACAGTGGCGTAAGTGGGAAATCATTTCCACTTGCTGAGACGCGTGCTTTAAATCCACCTTACGCCGTGGTCACGGCGTAATTCCGTGCGTAATTGGGAATTAATTCCCTTTTGCGCTGTATGTTACGCGTGATCATGGGTGTACTTTGGCTCGGTCTTCTTTGCTCGTTCTTTGTTCTTTTGTTCCAATATCACTTCATGAATTCCTGTCCATGTTAGTCCTCAGAAAAATTTATTCAAAAATTAAAAATTGCATTTAACAAGAAAACAAAAAATAACCTGAAATAAAATAAAAGTTTGGGTTGCCTCCCAAGTAGCGCTGCTTTTAACGTCTTAGCCCGACGTACCCATTATTATTTCTTCAATCATTTTCAGAACCGGTTGATTGCATACAGACCCATTTCTTTCTCCAGACAAAATTTCCAGTTTTTCCTGAGCAACTTGCTTTGGTCTTCGATTTTTTCTTTAGTTTTAACGCCTTCTTTTTATTGTCTTCTTTGATAGTCATACCAAATGTGGCATCTTCATCATCAATGCGCAAGGTAAGCTTACCCGCGCCTACGTCAATTATTGCTCGGCATATGGCAAAAAATGGCTTTCTAAAGATTAACGGCATATTCTCGTTCTGTTGGCCTACATCTAGCACTACAAAATCTACAGGAATCACAAAATCTTTAATCCTAACCAACACGTCTTCCGCGATGCCTCTCGGATACCGAGTGGATCCATCGGCAAGTTGGACAGTCATCTGGGTCGGAGTTAGAGCAAGCATAATCATTTTGTCAAAAACACACGAAGGCATAACATTTATAGAAGCACCTAGATCTGCAAGTGCATTCTCAAAGAAAAGTTCTTTTACTGTACATGGCACGACGAATGCACCGGGGTCACCCTTCTTTTTGGGGCATCCCCTTTCAAGAGCTGCTGAGCATTCCACACTGAGGTGGGCGCGAGATTCATTGTGAATCTCCTCCTTATGTTTGACTAGCTCTTTCAGGTGACAAGTCAATCTAGGCAGTTCTCTTAGTGTGCGCAAAAAAGGCATATTAACATGAAGTTTTCTAAGCAAATCATTAAATTTACCTTGCTGTTCCAGCTCGGCCATGTTCACCAATCTTTGTGGAAATAAAATTTGAGCGCGGTACTGAGATGTTACCATTTTGGTGTTTGCCTTTGATTCCTCTGTGTTTGTATCTTTCAAAACCTCTTTTCCTTTGGCAGATTTTCCTTCGTATCCTTTGTTGGTATCTTCATTAACAAGTTCCAGATGAACCGATATTGCATTGACGATTTCCTTTGGGTTATTTTCCGTTGTGCTTGGCAATGAACCACAAGGTCTTTCGGACACCAACTTGACTAACTGTGCTATTTGTATTTCCATGCTTTTCATCGAGGTTTGAGTTTCTTATCTCATAGCAGCCAAATCCTGTCTAAACTCTTGTGTGATTTCCTGTTTCAATAGAACTCTATCATTTCTCAACTCATGAATTGCTCGGGAGAGTCTTTCATCCACTTCTCTGATGTTAGGTTGATAAGGTCGCAACTCGCTTTGGGAAACTTGTGGTGGTCGATAGAGAGCATTGTTGCTTCCTCCAAATTTTGGGCTCTAGGTGATTGAGCCTCTATCTCTATTCTGACCGTAGGCATGTCTACTGCTTTGTATGTTTTGAGGTTTCCCTTGTGACTGGCCTCCTTGGTTCTATCCTTGGGTGGGTTTCCAACCGTAATATCCTCCTCCAGAATTGTTCTCATATGAATTTCCTCTCTGCCCTTGTACATAAACTAATTCATCCAGATTTCCTGGGGCGCTCGATGATTTACAGATAGCCGTGTCATGTGCCCCTCCGCATATATTGCAATACAAGGCAAGGGCCATACACGATTGATTTTTGGCTTCCATTTTCTGAATCATACCTTGCAACTTCTTAATTTCGTGGCTCATGGCTTCTACTTTCGCATCGTGCGTTACATTTCTAGACATTTCGTACATCCCTGCTTTGGCATCCCTTTTATTATACCAAAATGAGGTGTTAGAAGAAATTCTTTCCATCAGTGCTTCAGCATTAGCGGGTGATGACGACACAAAAGCTCCACTGGAAGATGAGTCCTATAGCATCTTACTCTCGTTAGTGAGACCTCCATAAAAAGAACTAATTACATCCCAAGGATGCAGTAAATCGGGTGGGTATTGTCTACGCAGCATCTTGAATCTTCTCCACGTTTCTCCTAACGATACGGTCGATCCTTGTTTAAAATCCTGAACTTGTTTGCGCACCTTCATCGTTTTTGTGAGTTGGAAAAACTCATTCATAAATTCCCGATGTAACTGACCCCATGATCTGAAGTGCTCATTGTCCTGAGAATCCAACCAAGTTGTCGCTTCTCCGTAATAGAAAATGGAAACAAGGTGAGTCTGATGATGTCTTCTGAAACGCCATTCGGCCTAAACATGCTACAAGATCTAATGAATCTAGTCATATGGGTATGCGGGTCCTCCGAGGGTAATCCACTGAATGGATTGTTCTGTATCAGATTAATCACTTAGGGATGGACGGTGAAGTTAATTCCTTCCATAGGCGGGATATAGATAGAGTTATGCATCGAGAATTCCGATGTCATATACTCTGCTATAGTCCTCATATGTTCTTCTCCTTGTGCGTTGTTTACTGCATCCCTTCCTAAAGGTACCGCATATTCTGGTAATCCTTCATCGAGTCTAACATTGTTGTTCAAGTGTTCTCTGGGTGGAGAACCTTCAAATACATTGATTCCGGGCTGTGTGTGTGTGTGTGTGGATCCTAGATGTGGACTATACTATATAAATAACCCTTGTATAGAATATATTTAATTCTTCTAGCCCAAGTCCATATAAACATTATCATATCTATACAAAACCCACCCATATAATAAAGCCCACTACCTAAGTCTTACAACCCTTATTATAAACATATCAATACATATACATACTACACCTTATCCTTACAATATAACCTAGACAAGTCTTACACATTCTCTTCTCTCTCTACCCTAGCTTTCACGCCGCATTCATCATCTCCTCATACCAAAAATATCTTCCATTTCCTACTCAAGAAAACATGACCAAGATTCCACATTTCCATTTCATAAAACTTAGGAGTGGTAAGATCAAACCTTCTACATCTTTTTTATTCAAGATCTCTTTGCTTTCTCTTAATCTTTATTCTTTTATCATGTTGGTTTTGGGATTTTAAAGAAGACCAAGTGGATGGGGACATGCTAGGTTGAGCTAGGAGGAGCTTGGTGTGAGTTGCTAGCTAAGAAGGTAAACCTATGTCCATGAAAACTATTTTAAACTCTATAATGTGTATTCTTGATGAATATGAGCATAATCTTGTGTTTATGCTTGTTTTAGAGTCTGTATATTAGGTGTATACTTGAGTTAATGTGATCCGAAACCTTACGGGTTCTACAGGAATTTTGGTCACACGGGGTAACCGACGAGCCTCAGCACACCTGCCGGACCACCCGCGTGAAGGTCTAGGGGGCGAGTGGGCTTAATAATAATAATAATAACAACAACAACAACAACAATAACAATAATAATAATAATAATAATAATAATAATAATAATAATAATAATAATAATAATAATAATAATGATTCAGAATTCAAGCAGTTATAATGTTCAGACTATGGTTTCTCAAATTGAGAAATGCAAACCTAGTTTCAATTATCTGCGAAGCCCGTGCATGTGTTCTCAATTTGAGACAGGAAAAGACATAAGAATTAAAGGATAAAGACACAATCGGCTGCCGCCGACTGGACTACTGACCTAAGTGTGAAGACGGAGACCAGGAGACGGTTAACTCACACCTAGAGACCAGGCGAGTAGGCAGGTGAAACATTCAACAAATGAAATTACAATATATATATATATATATATATATATATATATATATATATATATATATATATATATATATATATATATATATATATATTTCTAATCAAGTGAGAACTAGGTGTTATGTGAGAATGATGTCGTTTTGGAGCTGTCTAATTTTTTGCTGTGAGATTTTTTTTTTAATTTTTTTTTCCTTGGCAATTTTGAAAAGTATTGGGTTGGGTTATGTTCATTTTGAATACAATATATAATTAAAAATTGTAGAATAAAAATAATTAAGTAATAAATATCCAATTAACATATAAAATTAAATTTTTATTACTTAATGAATTCATTGTTATTGATTTATATTATGGTCATCCCTTGACAGTCGGTTTTACTCTGACATTTTGTTCTTTTTAGAAAACGATCCGTTGAATAATCAAAATAATACACAAGCAACGTTGCTCCGGCCGAATAGGTTGTTCGATAATGCTCGATCGTTGTTAGAATCAGCTGTTGGTTCACCGACATTTAGTCCAGTTAATCCCATAGTGAACGGTAAGAAAAGTTGTTATCTCAATAGTCTACCTTACAATTTTACTGAATTAAAATGCATTTTTAAATTTTCCTCCAAAGAATATGCCTATGAATGGTAATACAACTCACATTAAAATTATTTGTAATAACCTTTACATTTTATTATTTATGTAAATTTCGATTTATTTCTTGTTTTAAATTATTGATTTACTCAAATTAATGTGTTTTTAATTATTATGTATTTCTTTGTTTGTATTATTTCTCAAAAATATTATAGTTGTTATCAACCCAAGTAATATGAAATTTAATTTGTATTAGGAGATGCTTTCATAGTTGTGTATTTAGAGTACGAGCCATTCTATGAGAATCGTCTAAACAGTCATAATTTTTCCTTCTTCAATATAAATAATTGCAGTAGCTAGTATTCTGGTAACGAAGCATTGTTCGGTGGATTTACGTTTTGCTCTCCATCACCATCTATTAATATACCCAGCATCGGTACTACTATTGAACAAAACCATGAACGATCTATTGAGGTTCGCCATATCGGGTAGTGCTAAAAAGACTTTTGGTGGAAAGAAAGTAGTTTTGAGCGGCAATTTTAGACATATTCTTCCTCTTATTCCGAAAGCAACGAGACCAGTAGTTGTTGGAGCCACAATTAATTCTTCCTACCTCTGGACGAATTGGAAGGTATTGAGGCTCACGAAGAACTTGAGACGACAGAGATGGATTGCAGACATAGGAGATGGGATTGCAGGGGGTTGTAAACGACGGTTCGTCTAAGATCGATATTCCAGCACGGTTTTTTTTGAAGTGCAAACCCGATCCCATAGCAACTATAGTGGAAAGCACATTCCCAAGCACGAGATATGGCATGCTTGATGAGTCGCACCTAGAAGGCCGAGCGATCCTCTTGCCAAATTTAAATGTCGTTGATCAAATTAATCAGTACATGTGTGACATGAACACTGCAGAAGGTCGAACATATTTAAGTTGTGACTCTTTGTGTAAGGAAGAATCAGACGGTGAAAATCTATCAGAAGTACACACTCTTGAATTCTTAAATAGTTTGAGATTGTCTAGACTTCCTAATCATTCATTGGCATTAAAGGTTGGTGCACCTGTTATGTTATTGGGGAACATAGACTACTATCTTGGTCTTTGCAACGATACATGCCTCAACGTCACAAGATTGACAGATCACATTGTCGAAGAAAAAATAGTTAATGTGACACATGAAGGAACCAAAGTTCTTATCCCCCGAATGTCTCTCACTCCTTCTGATATGAGATTACCTTTCAAATTCCATCGTAAGCAATTCCTGTTGATGCTCACATATGCCATGACTATCATCAAAAGCCAGGGCCAAACACTAACTCACGTTGGGTTATTGCTGAAAAAAATTGGTATTTAATCACGGTCAATTGTACTGGCTTTATCCCGAGTCACCCATCCTGATGGTTTGAAGGTGTTAGCTCTAGACGAGGATGGACAAGATTCTGTTGCTACTACCAATGTCGTCTACAAAAGAGGTTTTCAATAATGTGTAATTACAACCAGTGATATTATGTTTTCTTGTTTACGCGAAGATGACAAAATTGGTATATATCTACACAAAAAATATATCTTCCATACAAATAAATTAGGATAACAAATGATTTCTATAACTTAGTTGCTAGACAACGAGCAAATTTTCCCAATTAATACAAATCCTAAACACTTATATATATAAAATCTCTAAATTTTCAGCACCATATGTGTACATCTATACATTGACTATTAATTGGCCAATTATTTGCTTGAATTCAAGCAATGATAACATCAGAAAACATAATCGATCCAACTCAATTCTTCAATTGCACTATATAATATTTGATATTATAATTTATATAATTGTATATCGATCCAAATATTCTTAAAATATTATAATAAATCCATTCCGTGCATCGCACGGGTGAAAATACTAGTAATAATAATAAGGTGGTACAATGTATAATAGTGTGCGCAAACTCACAATCATGGTTGCAAAAATCGCGCCTAGGCGCTAGGCGGCTGCCGGCTGCCGCGAGGAAGGCCAGAATCGGCGGCTGAACCGGCGCTAAAATTGATTTATTTTATTTTATTTTATTTTATTTTTTTTTTTTTTTTTGCGTTTTCAAGTGGGAAAAGTTCGGGAAGGTATAACTTTTGACTCGGTTGTCCGTTTTGGATGGTTTCAACAATCTTTTGAACACTTTTACAACCACTTACGTAAATAGTTTGAAAGAAATAACTATGGAAACCTTATATTTTATTACTAAATTTTGAAAATTTTTAATTTTTAATTTTATTTTTAATTAAAAAAATAAAATAAAAATAAAAATAAATAAATAAATCAGTGCCTAGGCGGGGCGCCTACCGTTTTTTGCAACATTGCTTGCAATGATGCAAAAGGATTAAAGAAATAAAGAGATGTCTAAAGACAAAGCACCGCACAAGTTTTAAACCATTGACCTCTAAGTTGAAATACAATAAACACACATTTCAACCATTTCTTTCATGAAGCCTTTTAAATTTAATTGAAAATTTTTAATTTTTATTTCTAAACTAGCTAGGTAAAAATTAAATATTGGACATCTAAAATTTGGGCGATGTGCGGTAGCCCAGCTTGCACAGCCCAAAATCCGGCCCTGCACACAGACACTTCTTTCACAACAAAGGACATGCTTACGGGCTACGGTGGAGTTCTAAGGAGCAATAATGGTGATTGGATTGTTGGTTTTAGTTGCACGACCAAAGCTAGCCACGCGACGGAAGGAGAGCTCTGGGCCTTATACGTGGGGCTCTAGTGGACCTGGGCAGCTGGAAGAAGGAAGGTCAGAATCTTCAGTGATTCACAACAGGTGGTAAATTGGATGAATGAGACGGCTCTGAACCGTGGGACCTTGTAAAGACGTTGTTCATGCATGCAAAGCAGAAGGAGTAGCGAGTGGAAGTGTGTCACACCCCCGTGAACTAAATGGGGTTGGTTGATTCGCTTGTCAAAAGTACTTCGAGTCGAACCTGTAAATGGATTGAGTTCCATACGCCACTAGAGACCTATTAGAGCTCAATTGTGTGTATGGCGCTACCCATATGAAGTAATTTTAGCGTTTTATCCGCCCCCCCCCCCCCCCCCCCCACCCTCCCCACTCCCCCTTCCTAAAAAAAATATTAATAATAATAAAATGCATAAGTTCTTATTTATTTAATATTTTTTAACTTTTTTTTTCTTAATATATCACACATGTCTTAGTGAAATGGATATTACAATTCTACCCAAGGTCTTAACTCCAATTGGATGAAAGTGGTAATAATGTATTACCAAAACTGACCAAAAAAAAATAATTCTCACAAAAAACAAAGTGGTCAATTTAAAAATTAAGATGATAAACTATAATAACATCATAATATTTAGAGGACCAATAATCACATTAATTCTATATTAAAACATAAATATAGACATAATTAACTCAAAAATTAATTCAAACATTATAACATTAATTGAAAATAGAATTAACTCAAAAATTAACTTCTCATTTAAAATTCAAGCCCGAAATGTCTACAAAAATCACAGTCATTACTCCCATAGATATTCCACTTCATAATATCATAATACATATATACACATCCATACAACTTGAACCACACCATCTCACTATTATTACTTACCAAACAAAAGCAAGCAAGCTAAGTGGAAAAACACATGTCAATGTGAGTTTCCATTATTCACCACTCTATCTTAGGAATAAATATACAAATTAGAGAAACAGATCAATGCAGTTATCCACCATATATGCTAGAAGGAGTAGAAGCTCATGAAGCCTTTGAACTAACATGCATGAAAGCCAACCAATGCATCCACCATATAAGAAAACACTTCCCTCAGCATCTGGATTTAAGTTGAAAAACATAATTGTATACAATAACACAAACTATTATTTATATATATACATACCACTGCACTTGCCTTATTAAGTTTGCCTCCAGCATATAACAAAGAGCTTAAGAATCTTCTTCTTCTCTGGATGGTCCTTCTTCATTAGGATCAGAGGTTTCTGACATCAACAGTTTTGTTAGGGGAAAATAGAAGTAATCAACAATACAATAAGAGAGTGCAACCTTAAGAAACTAAATGAGAGAGACTAAGAGAGAGACCTGCATAACTATTGGAAGGCATTTTGTGAACCACCACTTCTATCATGTCATTCCCAAAGTCGCGTTGCTCTTCTTCAATTGTCTGGGCAGAAGCCTCAACCGAAGGGAGACAGCCTATTATTTCAATCAACTGTAGTGTGGCAATGTCTACAAAGTCTCTCGGAATCTCTTTCAAGTTAAAACACCTCGAAAGGAGTAGGCGCTCTAGTACTGGAAAGTTCACATCTGTAGCTTCCCATTCCACAAGACTAGAGTAATCAATGAGCAAATACTTCAATGAATAGAAAGTATACTCTTCCTCCTCATCCACCAACTTCCACTCTCTTCCTACACATGCTTGAAAAAGGAGCTTGAGTACCTCGAGCTTAGGCAACTTTGCAAGAAGATTCACATCCTTCCACAAGATTTCAGTACACATAAGCTTCAACTTCTTAAGGCCATGCAAAGAAGCTATATTATCAACAGAACTGGTAGGTGTATGAATCGTTTGAAGCGCGTTAAAACCCTGAAAATCAATGCTTAGTGACTCGAGCTTAGGAAGAAAGGCAAGGTTCTCACCATACAGTATGAAATAAAATCTTTCACCTGTAATGCTTAGTTTCCTCAAGTGTGGAATCTTGGCAAAGACTTGCAGCAAGCACTGAACAGGGCTTATCGACGAAACACTGTGCAAGTTTTCATGGACAAACGTGGGAGGAAATAGCTCACAACTAGGCCAACATTTAAGGTATCTTAGTTGTGGCAACTCATCAAGAATGAAGGGTGGTAATGGATCTTTCATACCCTGATAACCAGCTGAAATTCGAAGTGTATGAAGATTTCGAGCTTTTGAAAATGGGAAATTTGTTAAAGGTAAGCCAATGATCAGAGAAAGGTGTCGCAAATGTACAAGATCTGCAATCCAATTGCTTAGATTTCCCAGCTCATGAAGGCACTCAAATGAAGACATCTCCAATACTCTTAGCAGCTTTAGATTCGAAGACACTTGTAGCAGATCCGAGATGTGTTTCCTTGATCCAAGTGTTTGTTTAAAAATACCACGTTTCATTAGTTTTATTGCTTCTTTATCTTCCTCAAAATAGAGAAAGGAACGACAGTTTCTGAAACAAGCATAAACAGAAGGATCACTGTAACTCTCTTTCCGTGCTGTTATCCAACGCTGGCGAGAAGAAGCCATTTCTCTGTCACCAACCACATACAGAAGATTCTCGTTTTGAGCTTCTCTTATGGACAAGTCATGGAGAAACTCATGGACCATACACGTTCTGATTGTTCCATATGAACTTTTTCTGTCCCCCACAAGAACTAGATTTCTGTCAATGAGTTCATGTAAATACTTTTCACCCACTATTCTTTCATTCTCCCCTTCCTTTACAAATCCTTCAACAATCCAAAGCCTAACAAGATTCTTCGCAATGAGAGGATAGTTTTTTGGGAAAAATCCAAAATACAAAAAGCAGGATTTCAGGTAGTGAGGCAAATGGTTGTAGCTCAAAGCCAGTATATCTGCGCAATTTTTAGCAATAGGTTTTCTCTCCAGGGAATCAATAGTCTTCTCAACGTTCTTCCATTCTTCCAGCGTCGTCAGATTGGAAAAGAGCCCTGCTGCCACAACTACTGCCAGAGGTAATCCATAACATTTCTCAACAACTTTCTTCCCAATCGTCTCAAACTCCACCTGCTTTGAAATTTCTACCAAAAACTTCTGCTCTTTAAACAAATCCCAACTCTCCTCTGGGTTAATGAAACGCATCTGGTAACAGTTCTTGGGGTTGACAGTAGTAGCTGCAGCCTGGGCCACATTTTTCAGGCGAGTTGTCAATAATACTCGACTTCCATTACTAACATCTGGAAAGCAACTCCGCACATCATTCCAAACATCAATGCTCCACACATCATCCATCACAATTAGATACTTGTTATGCTTCAGATGCTTGTAGATCTGCACTTCTATGTTATCTGAATCATACTGTGGTTGCTCTTGGACCAGTGATTTGAGAAGATCCAAAAGCATTTGATCCTTATTGTGATGTTGCGATATCACAACCCATGCACATTTGTCAAAGTGTTTCTTTATTGATTTATCTTCATAAATGCTTTTAGCTAACACTGTTTTGCCTGCAGCTCAAATAAAATCAATTTGTGATTGTATAATATGTATAACTCTATGTAAGTAAGAAGTTGTAAGTTTAAATAAAGGTTTCAAAGCTTTTTGGTACATCATTTAATTATTAGCAACTAATAGATTTAATTGTTCCACATTTTTGTCAAATTAGATTATTCCATGAGATCTAAGTGTTATTATAGTGAATAGTCTGCTAAAATATATGATATATTGTAAAAGTTTAAAGAAAATTATAAGTATCAATAAAAGTTTTATACGAAAGTTAATTTATTAAAAGTTTTAATAACTTTTCATTTATAGAATTTTTAATTAATTATTTGTAATATATGACTTTTATAAATTCCTACACAATTTACATAAGTTAGAAGACCTGAACAATCTACTCTCTCTCTCTCTCTCTCTCTCTCTCATTCAAAATTAAAAATGGAACAATTATATATACAATTAATCAAAGAGAATTGTTAGAAATTATCAAAATGACGCTGGTCTTGTTTGGCATGTTAGCTGTTAGTAAATTGTGTTAGACGCTAATTGGTTTAATGAATAGCTAGTATTAGCAATTTGTAAAGAGACGTTTGATAAAGTTAATTATTAATTTTAATAGATACCATATTAAATGACTTTTGACGACATGAATTTATTTTATAGTAATAATTTATTAATTATATAATAAATTACACATGTATAAAATTATTTTCTAATATTATTATTTATAATAATAATAATAATAATAATAATAATAATAATAATAATAATAATAATAATAATAATTAAAGAACATTTAATAATTAGAACATTTTTTTAAAAAAAAGTAGTATTATTTTTCACTATTTTTCATTAAAAAAAAAAAACAAGTGAAAAAGTTCAAAATTTGAGGGGGGAAAGAGAAAGAATAAATTTCACTTTTAGTCCCACGACTTTGATATCTTATCACTTTTGGTGCACAACTTAAAATTTTTTTCAATTTTGGTACCGAGTTTTGTTATTTTTATCAGTTTTAGTCCTTCCGACCAAATTTACGGCGAAATGTTGCTGAATTTTATATTTTAGGGGCAAAATCATCAACCCAAGTAAAGTTCTTCAATATTTAAACAAAAGAAACATCATATTAAGAGAAAAATAAGAGTTTACCCATCGTCAACACTATAAATCTCATAGATCGAAGTCTAGTTTCTACCCGTCTTCACCATTATTATCATCGATAAAACACCTATAGATATTATTTTACAGTGATTTTGTTTAGATATTGAAGCTGTTTCTTTGGGATGATGATTTTAGCCCTAAAAGTATCAAATCTGGCAACATTTTGCCATCAATTTGGCAGAAAGGACCAAAACTAATAAAAATAACAAAGTTAGGCACCAAAATTGAAAAATATTAAAGTTGTGCACCAAAATGCTAGAACCTCAAAAGTCGTGGGACCAAAAGTGAATTTTTTTTTGGTGGGGGGACCATAATTGAATTTTTTTTTTTTTTTGGTGGGTGGACCAAAAGTGAAATTAATTCAAAAAGAAATTACAATTCAGTAAATGAGTGAGGATATCAGAGGAATTTGTTAATTTTTATCAAAAAAAACTCAAGGAAAACACTACTCCAAAAACTTTTTAAAAATGGATTTTTCGAGTTCAAAACGTTGATTTGAAATTATTTACCAAATACATATACTCTTTAACTCAGTCAAATAGTTAAGTTAATTAAAAGTTAATATATACTTGTAATTTAATAAATTAAAACTTTAATTGTGTTTTATGTAATTTAATTTTTTAATTAATTTATATTCAATATTAATTTTTTTTAAATGATAAATTTATTTTCAAATAATACACAATTTAAGATTAAATATTTAACAAAATATATAAATATTTTTAAAAACAAAACAGAAACAAAAGGAATTATTAAAAAGACCAAGAACAAAATAGATAAAGAAAAAAAAAAAACTTTTCAAACTTTTACTGTTTATGAACAGTACTGTGCTAAATATGGCACATATTGTTCGCTCACAACAAAATTTTTGCTGTTTTGGCATGTTCATTGGAGGCTAACTCCGTCAATTTTTTGGTTGATATGCCTTTTTCTATTGTTTGTTGGAGATGATCTTAATTATTTTAAAATTTTTATAGATTATAGTAATTATTTAATTTTTTTTTTTGATGAATTGAATTAACAAATTCCCATTTAGAATTAAAGAAAATGCTAGATATTCCTTTATTTTTTCCTTTATGATATTATCCATTACTAAATTTCTTTTAAAATAATGGTGGGTTCAATAAATTCATAGATAAAAATAAAGATTTTTTTATATTTTCAGTATCTATTAGTTAAATTAACTTTTTCATGTAATTTACTCAAGAGCAATTGAATCCTAGTTATTCTAAAATTTCCTCTGAGAGTTCATTTGCTATTTGAACTATTCCATTGAATTATTCTAAACTTAATATTATAAACAATTAAATTGTAATTAATTTCACTTAATCCTGTTAACCAAAACTCTACATAAAATGAAACCCACACACAAAATGAGAGAGGAAGTAATTAGTTACCTATTCCGCCCATGCCATGAACTGCGACAACTTGTAGGCTGTTGTTGGATTTGCTTCCAGAAATCAGCAGATCCTTCATCGCATCCAGCTCATCGCTTTTTCCTACCATTATTTCCTCCGGCGGTTCATCGGAGGCATGAGATTGCGCCGCCACATCTTCGGCCTGGTCGATTTTGTCGCGGTTGTCTTTGATACTCCTCAAGTCTTCCTTGATGCGATCAATGTCCTCTACTGCTCGTTGCAGGACTTGACGAAGCGTGGCCGGAGACGGAGGCTGTGGCTCCTCGGACGACGGAACGAGTTCGCCGGCGAGATAAATGTGCGATAATTCGAATTCGATGCCGTCTTCCGCCTTGAAGGCAAAATCTCTGAGTTTTGCCCCCAAATCTCGCGGCAGTTTTTCACGGCCCTCGGTGTCCAACCCCTGCAATTCCTCCAGAGAGGATTGCACAAATAGGAGGCTTTCGCGGAGAGATTCGATGACGTCCGTACAATCGGTGATGATCTGCTTCTGATGTTGTGGAAGTGGGCGCGGTTGAGATTGAAAGAATTCGAGCTCAATGGTTCTCAAAAGGGAACTTACAGCAACATGAGCCATCTCTCTCTCTCTCTATATATATATATATGTATATATCTGTTCCAAGATGAGTATGCAAATGGCGTTTAAAGAAGTAGAAGCCAGGCTCTTTGATTCACTTGGTTAGTGTATATTCAGCTCACCAATTTATAGGAAATCTTAGAGCATATCTTACTTTATTTTATTTTATTTTATTTTATTTTATACATTAGCTATGATTACTTAGAATCCCTTTAGAAACCATGAAAATAACTTCTGAAAAATGAATTAATTTTAAGAAAATATTTTCTATTCTAGTGTTTGGTTACCTTCCGAAAAATTATTTTGGTGTGTTTGGTTCACTTTTTAGAAAATGAGTATAATTGTATAATTAAACATTTTAATTATTTTATTTGGAATATAACATGTATAATAATATAATATATAATAATATTATAACAATTTTAAATATAATAAAAATGACTAATAAGTCTCAAAAGAATGATAATAATTTATACTCATCTGTCTCATTTTATCAGTCTACTTACTATTTATGGGTCAAACCAACTCTTTTATCTTTATTTTTTTTAGTATTTTTTACTTATTTAATTTTTTTTTTTGTGTGTGTTTAAATAAAAAATTCATCTATATATATATATATATATATATATATATATATATATATATATATATATATATATATATATATATATATATATATATAGGGATGCACTCAGGTGCGAATAAGTGCTCAGGGGGGAAATGCGAACGAATCAGCGCGCGACACGTGTCCAGATCTAATAACTTAAAAAAAAAACGCGGTGGCATTTTCATAAATAATTGAACATCGAAGTGCAAGTAAAATCACTTACAAGTGCACCTACTTTCACCTATAAGTGCATGTAATTTTGCCTTGTTAGCATTCACTTTCCGCAACCATTCATGCACCTGGGTGTGCTTATAACTATGTGTGCAACTATTTATAACTATAGGTGCAACTACTTATAACTATAGGTGCACCTACTTTCACCTATAAGTGCATGTAATTTTGCCTTGTTAGCATTCACTTTCCGTAAACATTCATGCACTTGGGTGTGCTTATAACTATATATGCAACTATTTACAACTATAGGTGCAACTATTTATAACTATAGGTGCACCTACTTTCACCTATAAGTGCATGTAATTTTGTCTTGTTAACATTCATTGATCAGAGTTCAGGGGGTAGTAATACCCCTGAAAACCACTCGCAAACATTCATACACCTAGGTGCAACTACTTATAACTATGTATGCAACTACTTAGAACTATAGGTGCAACTACTTAGAACTATAGGTGCAACTAAGTATTGATGCTCAGTGTAAATTTTTACTTGCACCTATAATACATTTTACATGCACTTGAAATACATTTTACTTGCACTTCGATGTTCAATTATTTACGAAAATGCCACCGCGTTTTTTAAAAAAATCAGTGTTTCTCATCCATTAGATCTGGACACGTGGACGAACAGAATTCATTCCTATTTCGCGCCTGGGCGAAGCATTCGCACCTAAGTGCGATTCTATATATATATATATATATATATATATATATATATATATATATATATATATATATATATATATATATATATATATATATATATATATATATATATATATATATATATATGAGTTAATACCCAAAATCGTCCTCGACTATAGTGGTTTTTCTCAATTTTGTCCTAAACGACTTTGGTGACCTAATATCGTCCCAGACTTTTGTGTTTCGCTCAATTTAGTCCTCCATTTGTTATTCCGTCAAATTGGTGTTAAATAAAGAGACAATTCAGTAATGTCAATATTGATCTCTCTTTACTTTCAACTTGTGAAGTGCGAAATTTCTTTTTCTTGTACGAATTACACCCAGAATTACTCCCGGACCTGCAAATCAAATTTTATATTCGCAGTTTTAGGAGTCATTCTGGGAGTAATTCATTAAAAAAAAGGGATTTTGCAGTTCACATGTCTATGAGTAAAGAGATGTCAATATTAAAATTACTGAATTGTCTATTTATTTAACACCAAATGGACAGAATAACAAATGAGGGATTAAATTGAGCAAAAGCACAAAAGTCTGGGACTAAATTGAGCGAAACACAAAAGTCTGGGACGTTATTAGGTCACCAAAGTCGTTTAGGACGAAATTGAGAAAAACCACTATATATATATATATATATATATATATATATATATATATATATATATATATATATATATATATATATATATATATATATATATATATATATATAGGGATGCACTCAGGTGCGGATAAGTGCCCAGGAAGAAATATGCGAACGAATCAGCGCGCGACAAGTGTCTAGATCTAATAACTTAAAAAAAATGCGGTGGCATTTTCGTAAATAATTGCATATCGAAGTGCAAGTAAAATCACTTACAAGTGCACCTACTTTCACCTAAAAGTGCATGTAATTTTGCCTTGTTAGCATTCACTTTCCGCAAACATTCATGCACCTGGGTGTGCTTATAACTATATGTGCAACTATTTATAACTATAGGTGCAACTACTTATAACTATAGGTGCACCTACTTTCACCTATAAGTGCATGTAATCTTGCCTTGTTAACATTCATTGATCTGAGTTCAGCGGGTAGTAATACCCCTGAAAACCACTCGCAAACATTCATACACCTAGGTACAACTACTTATAACTAGGTGTGCAACTACTTAGAACTATAGGTGCAACTACTTAGAACTATTGGTGCAACTAAATATTGATGCTCAGTGTAAATTTTTACTTGCACCTATAATACATTTTACATGCACTTGTAATACATTTTACTTGCACTTCGATGTTCAATTATTTACGAAAATTTCACCACATTTTTTTTTAAAATCAGTGTTTGTCATCCGTTAGATCTGGACACGTGGACGGACAGAATCCATTCCTATTTCGCGCCTGAGTGCGATCCTATATATATATATATATATATATATATATATATATATATATATATATATATATATATATATATATATATATATTTGCACAGTTATTTGTATGCGGTTCATAACCTTACAAAGGTTCATAATTACATATATATTATATTCATGTTGAACATGATTTATGTAATTAATATTCTCCTATGATAAATATATCATTTAAGATATATTTTATGGAAGATAAGTTTTTAAAACTGCAGAAAATTTTCATGTAACTTCTCCAACAGTCATAATTGCATTTATAAATATTTTGGAGAAACATCTAAAAAGGATGATACAAAATTATCTTATGGCATATCTTGATATTTCAGAGTCTTACAGTTCTATAGGAAATTCTCAAACAAAGCAACTTGAGAATTTCATTCATCTTCTTGTATCCCATAAGATTAAATCTTGAACCTTGTTGCTTTTATAGAGAGAGATTTAAAGCTTATAGAAAAGTGATTACACGCCTGAAGATATCAAATGATCCAGTTTTTGTTCCCTATTGTTTTATGTAATTTTGTTGTATCTCACATGTATTACAGATTACAAGCATTTTTTCCAACAATCTATAAGCTTTAGAGTTATAAAGCTGTGATCATTGGTCCTGTCTTGAAAGTTTTGAAGACAAGATGTCAGGCGTGAAAGAACAGTTTCCAATCACGAAAATATTTCGGAATGAGATTTTCAAATTTGGTGGTAAGAATGACAGAAATCACTTTCTATTGTGCAAGAAGGTTTTTCATGCGATTTTTGCATGTTATTCATGGCATGATGTGTACATGTGGATTAAATGCATGTTGTGCAGTTTTGTTTTCATCTTCACTTAAAATCATGGGGCATCAAGTGATGCAAAGATGATTAGTGAGATGTGTAAAATGATTTTATTTAAATAAATCATTTTGTTAGCCATGATGATTTGGCATGAGAAGATGTGTACTTTCCTAGAGTGGGTGTGTTGTTCCAGCGTATCAAGGACCGGAAGTGATGACCATTAAAGCAGATACAAGTTACAGGATGAGATCGGTACAATACTTTTTATTTGTCTCGGCCTCGGCATGAATGTAAGTTTTATTTTATTTACTGGTTAAGTTCTGATTTATACCTAGAAGTTATGTATGAGATTCTTTTGAGTTTTACATAGCCGGTTAAATACAAGGATATGTTTATGCATGTGTATAAATATTTTATTTTGAGACTTTGTCTTGTTGCGTGCATAGTATGCAAGATACATATATAATATGTTGGATCTTGAGGTGCTGTAAATTTGTCAAATTTGAATTAATTTGGTGTTATCAATTTGTTGTTTTCTTATGCATGGTTACAATGTTTAATGATTGTAAGTTGGAAATATTTTCAATGTCATGCATGGAATTATTAATTATTTTAGCACACAGATGTTTTTATCCTTGTGAAAGCTTTTGAAATATTATGTTACTAATATTTCTGATAAAGACAAAAATGCTTTGAAAATATTCTGGTATATATTTTGATGAAGGCATGCAGAAGTTGTATGCATGAGGTATGCATAATGAAATTCATAAAATTTATGAATGTCATTAACACAAAATTTCTCATATTGAGAATGTGTTAATTTCTGAAAGCTAAAAAGTTTACTAGTTTATCTAGTATGGAAATTGACAGTGAAAAGAAAGTTTAAATTTAAATCATGGATTATGATTTAAGATTGTATGATTCTTCAGTTTAGAAGAAACATGAAAAGTTAAAAGTTTAAAATCAAAATGGTTTATTCTCCAAAGTTGATGTTCTCTGAATGGAGGAGGTCGATTCTCCAAAGTTGATGATGTCTCAAATGGAGGAGGTTTAAAATTTTTTTTTATTTAAGGAAAATCACTCACTGTTAATGAGTTCAACATGGTGATTGAAATTCTTGGTTATGGAATTTGCAAGAAATAAATATTTGTTGACTAGGAACCTATAAAGTGGGTTCCGGTATAATCAGTCAAATATTTTATTTCATAGGTTCATTGATAGAATATTAAAATTCTATCTATCATCATGTTCTGTTGGCTAAGTGGATGGGATTAAAATGAATTTTGATATAATTGAATAAAATCATTAATTATGGTTTAGTATATTTAATAGAAATTTCCATCCTGAAAAGATTTTCTAATGCCAGTTGAATGTCTAATCATGAAACTTGTTCCTCAATTAGTAGATGGATATTTCTGCTTGGAGGAGGTGTTGTTTTAT